AACAATATAAAGGATATTAAATTGTAATGCATAAATTCATTAAACACATTTAGTTCAAAGACCTTCTTGTTGGATGACTAAATGAGATAATGAGGTAGTTAGTATTAAAGATAGTACAAAATTGTATAACAGCGTAAGTATAAAACTTAGATCCAGTAATAATTATTAAAAAAATTATTGTCTTCTCTGTCTTTTTGTCTCTGCCCTGTTTGCGTCTATGGATGTCTTTGATGCGACTCACACTATGCTTTCTGTTTTATTGTGGCTGCTCCTACTCTATAATTAAAAGTTTTCCGGTAACCTTTTTTATATTTTTTCTTTATCATCAAATTCAATACAATAATCCAAACCCTTTTGACTTTTATCCCACTAACAATTAATCATCATCTCAAAAAAAAATGTTTTTCTGACTGTTACACTACCTCGATATTGATACTAACGAGGGGTAAACCACTGACTGAGGATGTAGGTGTACAAAGAGGAGGATTAACGAGGATGTATGAAGATTTATCGAGAATATACGAGGATGTATGAGAATTTACGAGGATGTGTAAGGATTTCTCGAGGATGTACCAGAATATAAAAATGTTTAACATGAATTTATATGCCTTAAAACTATTAAAAATTTTAAATTGCATTAAATAGGCCATAAGATATAGTCGATTTACCTGTGAAAAATTAGAATACAATAAATATTACCGGGTTATCTGACTTGCATTTTTTTATGGGTGTTTTTGAAAACTCTGCGCAAACGACTAATCTGAAACAAACAATTCTAGTCCATTCATTATCTGGAGGGTATTTGTAATAAAAAAACATACGTTTTGGACATATTAATTGGTATCTATAAAAAACCCTGGAAACTAACATAGTGAAATAAGCCTACTAAGATATTGTTTTAGTTGACACGTTAAACTAGTTTAAATTTAGGATTAAAACATAATCTGCAATAAATCGTATTTTCTTGAAAATGAATTAAAAAATATCGAAAAGAAACAAGAATACGTGTTTAATGTAAAAATGGCTGCTCTTTCAGATTTCAAAACCGATTTATCATTAGATATACAGGGTGAAAACTTATGAGCTAATTTATGATAGCGACAGGTTGTAAGTAGCGCCCTCTATAAGCAACATAATAAATATTAGCATAATCATTTTTATCGTACCAAAAACCATACAGCTGCTTAATGTCAAGTCGATCGTCCAAGAAGCACGATGATAATAGTAAAAATCTGATGTGTTCAATACATGACTTTCCTATCTAGTTATCACAGGCTTATTTTGGTTATATTGTACAATCTATTGTAGCACTTCTGTAAATGTTTAGAGGTTAACTTAATATACAGTATGTCCCCTAGGTTTAAATCATATGGAAAACTTTTTTATTATTAATTTTAGGAAAAAAAGTTATTCTAAAAAGTTCTGCATTATCTAAAACCTAGAATACAGTCATCAAATATCAAATTGTTCAGTGGTATACGAGGTTTGTCAAAAAAATATGAGTTTTACTCAAGAGTAAAGTACCTTTATTACTGAGGCCCTTCCTATGGAGCCTCAGTATTGCATTCGTGCAGACGAAAAAATTTTCTTACCCCCATTTTTTAAAACTGTTTTTCATGTTTCCGATCACTCTGATTCCGAAAATGCAAAAAAAATTTCGTCTGGTCGTCTGTATGTATGCCGGCACGATAACTCTAGAACGAAAATTCTGATTGACTTGCGGTTTTGATTTTCTTGAATAATTACTTCTAACTTAGAACCCTATTGATTTTCAGAATTTTCAATTTATCCTAACTACTTTATAATCAATTTTCTTAAAATCCGCATATGCATTTCTTATGTTACAATTTTAGGAATTTCAAGTATTTCTAAGTCAACATTCCTAACATTCTTAAAATTCCATAAATTGCAAACATTCTCTAACGACCTGTCAAACAACAGCTGTTGATAGTAGAGGTGAAATTTCTAAGGCGGGTTGCGACCTTCATACTTGCAATCATAGCCATTTTGGAGGCTATTTTTATTCGAAATTAGTAGCCAAGCCTGCCAATTTATGAAAAATATATAAGCAATTTCTTAAAATTGACTTTTTTATGGTGGTGCTAACTTAAGCGTACTACTATTTCGCCCCTAGCCACAAAAACACCTTCATCCAATTTATTGGCTCTCTGTCGCAACCCCATAGAATAATTAACCGGCCATTTTATTTGGCAAAAATCAGAATAATGCTTGACTGTGCCTGTCAAGTATCAAGATGTCAACTGTGATGTGTGAATGGCTGTTAAATGTCAAATTATTTAAAAATGTATACTTCTTTTGATATTTATTGCAAATAATTTGTAGTGTATCTCAATTCAGGCTTTCCATAAAGGTACAGCAAGATAGATAATATGTTCTTATACAAAGGTAGGATATAATGCTGGTTTTTTTGTAGAAAATTTTTATTATACGATTTTGGATTAAATATTCAACCAGCGAATTGTAAATAATAATTAGTGAACTTCTAGTCATAAATTTCCTCAATAAATAAAATTTAAAAATTAATCTTCTTACCTTGGTACCGAAATATTTTGTTGTGTTTTTTTTATTTTAATTATAAAGTTGTCATTTATTTGTATGTTGAAAGAAGGCTTTTGTAAATTACATTGCTCTCTATGGATCTACTTTAACACAAAAATAGTTTTGTGGCTATAAGTTGCTATAACCTATTAATAATTTAAACATAGTAAGTAGTATTATTATAACATCTAGTAATTTTTTAAAATAAAGTACATGATCTCAAAATAGAAGTAATTTATAATAAATGCGGGTAAAACGAGGGGTAAAATAACAATAAATTAGGGGAAATACTTAAAAAGGGCAGGTTTAAAGAGTATTATCACAAGAAAGTATATCCGTTTTTTTTTCTGTAGGCAGTCTATTAAATTTTTTAAACCTTTAATAAAAATTGTATTTTAGGAACGTTTAGTGATGGCTTGCCATACATGAAAGTCAGATTGGCTTCTTGTATTTTAGTTGTGATATTTCGAATTATATTGAATTTTTTCTAATAGATCTGATGCGATGGTACTGTCATTTTTATTTTATAAATAAATATCAGTCATGTAATAAACATAATTCTGAACTGAAAGCCAATTTATTTCTTTTAACATAGTTGCAATACTCATCCTTCTGTCCTTTATTAATATTATATAAACAGGCGAAGTAAGGAGTTCAAATATTTTACATGAGCAGGCTTAAGAGGTAAAGGGGCCAATTATTATTGGACAAATTGCTCAAACAAGTTTGTAAACCCGAATCAAAGGTCAATATATCTAGAATGGTTTTAAAAATCAAGGCTTGTGAAAATTATCACATGGTTTAACTTAATTAATGCCAATGCTTCACAAACCAAAAAATTCAACGTCCTAATACTACTATCGGCTTTCGGTCTTTTGTTCCAAGTTAAATCATTTCTCGTTTTTGTTACGCTACGTTTAGCCTTGTGGGCCTCAGTCTCGATAAGGTGGGAATCACCATTTTAGCGTCTCTCGAATTCTTTATACGACTGATAAAATTTGATATCTGATGGTTGTATTTTAGGTTTTAGACCATGCTTGACTTTTTATAAAGAATAACTTTTTCCCAATATTAATAATAAAGATTTTCATATGCTGCCAATTTACGTAGACAGTTGGTGGCATTATCCGTTTTTGAGTTTTCTTCAAAATTCATAATTTACACTTTTTCACAAATATCTCGAATTGGGTCCATTTTAGAGAAATTATAAATGTGGGACAAAAATTATAGAGAATTATATCGTTATATATATAACAACTTTTATTTGAACAATTTTCATATTGATTTTTACATTTTGTCAAATTTCTCGAATACAGACCATTTTAGTAAAATTTTTAGACAACAAAAATTATAGAAAATAATATTAAAAGTAACTTTTATTTGAAGAATTTTCTTCTCCAAACGTATTTACCAAATATATTTATTAAAATTTAAAAATCTCTAAAGAGCCCCCTCCCCCCAGATGTCCCGACTCTGCCTAAAATATAATCAGTTCACCGCAGGCCTGAATAAAGCTTAAGTTTATAATTTGGTATTTCTCTTTATATCCGTTCATGAGTTATCGTGGATACACGCACACACACACACACACACACACACACACACACACACACACACACACAAACACACACAAACACACACAAACACACAGACACACACAAACACACAACACACAACACACAACACACACAACACACAACACACACAACACACAACACACAACACACAACACACACAACACACACAACACACAAACACACAAACACACACACACAACACACACAACACACACAACACACACAACACACACACAACACACACACACACAGCACACACACAGCACACACACACACACAACACACACACAAGTCATATTTAAGGGTGGGTTTAGAAGCAAAAGGAGATGAAGCTTTCTCCAGACAGGAGGGAACTGTTCAGATTTGTATTTGTATGTCTATTCGAAGCGTGCCACCTACATTTTTAAAACCTTATAAATTCCTTTTCCACATTTGCGGCGACTATAAGCTTTTCTATTAAATTATTTTTGAAATAAATATTATTTATTTCTCAGAGGTAAAATTAATTTTTTTACAAAAATAAATATAGCTCGCTTTATACATTGATTCTCTGAATCTAAGAAATAATTCTAGGAATAACAAAATACTATTCTCAAGTGTGTACACAAATAGAGATTGAAATCAATAGTTAATTAATGTCGGCGTCATTTCTACGCAAAGACTTTATCATATAAAAATAAGTCTCGATTTAGAAATTACTTTTTCCTTCTTCCTTGCTCTCTCTAGTCTGAGACAATTACGTTTGACGATAATATAGGGCGTCTTAAAATAAATGAAAATAGAAAAAGCAAACGTGGGGTTACAGCTGCTGGAAAATTATAGAAAAATAATCATAATTATTTATAATATATATAATCATTTTTACTGGATCTTTTTTATTTATACCTTAATTAAACAAAAAAGCAGATACTAATCTTCAAGTAATCTTGCAAACAATATTTATGTATATAAGGAAAACAACTCTTAATAACTGTGATTTGGAGCTATCAGATTAATTAAAATAATGAACTTAATACACTTTAATTATATAATATGAATCCTATTCTCTATTTCTTGAATCGTTTATTATTTCAGATTGTCTGTAGATACGCAATCAGATCTGCTCTATCTTGGGATTTTTTCAATCCGGCGAAAACCATTTTTGTTCCTGGTATGTATTTTTTTGGATTTTCAAGATAATCGTATAACGTAGAATCGCTCCAAGTCACACCTTTCTTTTTATTTGCATCGGAAAAAGTATAACCGGATGCAGTACCAGCTTTTCTACCCACAACTCCACTTAAATTTGGTCCAACTTTGTGTTTTGCTCCACTTTCGTAAGAATGACATTGGGCACATCTTTGCATAAATATTTTTTTACCATTCGTAGAATTACCTGATGGAACACCCATGCTTTTTAAAGTATTGATCTACTATTAATAAATACAATAATTAAAATTATGCTAGTAAACAATTTATAATAAATATACTTCGGGTAATGATTAAATCTGTCTTTTTAGATTTGACAGTTTCTAAATTTGACGCAATGTAATTAGGTTGTCAAGTAAACTGCAAAAATTTATTTATGTTTGTTAGTTTTATATTTTACACTTTTTGGTAGTAAAAGTACAAATTAATGACAAATTTGTAGATGTCATCGACGTCGAATGCATAACTCTCAGAGATATATGATGCTGGCCCATGATATGCTGGCCTATTAGGTATTCCAAACAAAATGGTTACCAGTGAGTTTTAACCACTGATCTGTATCAGTGGTTTTAACAGATTATGATACGGCAATATTATGGCAACCCTGTAGACCAGATGATTTGTTGGGGTCAATGAAATAGATAGTTATATAGATTGATCATCCATGTTTTTCAAAATAGACATAAGCTTATGCGTTAAAGTAAAAATGTAGATATGGCTAGAAATTGGTTTTATTGCTAAATTGTTTCAAATTAACACTTTCAAGGCAATATGGCCACTCGTAAACGATCCGCTTTGAGCACTCTATATAACTGTATGCTTCATTTAAAGTGTCAATAACAACAGATGCACAGGGATGCCATATCTAAACTGTCAGTTCACACTTGTCAGCTTTTTGACAAGTTGTTTAGGCATTCCATAGGCGTTCCAAACAAAACAGCTGCCCGGTTGGAATGACAGGCACATGACAGGTTATGATACGGCAATTAGGCATTCCAACGACCTGTCCAAATGGCTACCAGTGAGTACTGACAGTTTAGATATGGCAACCCTGTTGTCATGTTGTCATTAACAGGGTCAATGATACATATATGTTATATACATTGCTCAAAGCTGGTCGTTTGCGAGCAGCCATATTGCCTGGCAAATATTTATTAATTTGAATCAGTTTAGCAAAAATGTGTTTTAAAACCAATTTTCAGACTTTAGATATTTAAAAAATAATAATTGCTTATATTTTTACTTCAAGGCAATAAGCTTATGTTTATTTTAAAAAATAGGGATGATCAATCTATGTAACTATCTATTTCACTCACCTTGTCAAATCACCAGGCCTACAGAGTTGCCATAACTTTGCCACATCATAACCTGTCAAAACCCACTGGTAGCACATACTTTGATTTTCTTTTACTATACGGAGAATGGTCGAACTGCGCAGCTTTCTGAGTGCCTTTTAAAAGGAGATAGAAAACTCCGCTATTCTGAACCCTTATTACGTGTTGCCTACATCTTGGCGCAATATTTTTAATAGGTGCGTTTTAATCATCCGCTTCTGCTTCGGAATTGTCGGTTTTCTTGTTTTAATCTGACAGGTTAAAACGATTACACCGACAATTCCGGAAGCAGAAGCGGATGATTAAAACGCACCTGATATTTTGCTTGCTGCTGTCAGTGTCAGTGAACATTATTTTTGAAGTCACAGTTTATTGCTAAAGAATCAGTTAGCTCACTCGGACCAGTTGAAAGTTCCAAAATAACATCCACTCCAGGGATACAAATTCAGGATACGCAGAAGACTGCTGTTTTATTATAGGCGGTTGTCATATATTGTATTATCCGAGTTGCACAGTTTATAAACTGAAACATTGAGATCCAAAGTGCCGACGCAGAGTGAGCGATCTGATTCTTTAGCTGTAAACTGTGTCACAGGGTTCAAAATGGCCGCGCCCTATGTTGGGCGTGTCGGACCTCTCTCTTGCCTCGTATAGTAATCAAAGTATGTGACTGGTAGTCATTGTTTGGAATGCCTAATACTGTGGGCCTGGTGGTTTGATAGGGTCAATGCTATAGATATTTATATAGATTGATCACCCATGATTTTAAAGTCAAATTGTAGGCAATTATTTTTTTTAAATATTCAAAGGCAGGAAATTGGTTTTAACACATTTTTGTTAAACCGATTTAAATTAATCAACACTTGCCATGCATTATGGCCACTCGTAAACGACCCGCTTTGAGCAATTTACATAACTATATATGTATCATTGACCCCGTCAATAACAACAGGCCCATAGGTCCACACTTAGGGTCCACAGCATTGGGATTCTCATGTTTCAATCTGGCACGTGCTGTTACAACTATCATTGTTCAACAGAATGCGATTTGTGTGTTGTTTCTCTCTAGTACGCACATAAGAATCCCTGTCCTGCATTTATATTCTCATCTCTTCTGTCTGTATCTGTAACGTGTAAAGAGTGGGTTACCTCCACGACATTTAGGCTTTATTAGGCCCATTGTGCATCCTCCTAAGATGATAGGCACCTCGTAGCTTGTAAGCCAGCCTACAGATTTAATGTAGTTGACAACGTCGCCAAGAGGTGCTTCTCTTATATCGGCCGGTGTTAGCCGATACTCGCCGAACACAAATCTTCTAATAAATGAGAGCGTCGAGCAATCGTAAAGGATATGCTCGATGGTCTCATCTTCTTGTTCGCACCCTCTGCAGAGTGCGGATTCTGACAGCTCCATGATATGGAGATGCTTTCGTACTTGGCAATGACCAGTCAGAATTCCTGTGACTAGGCGCAGATTCTGTCTAGTGTATTTGTTTGCTGCAGTATTGTCAGGATAACTTAAAAGCTCCCTGGCAACTCTGCAGTTTCTTGTTTCATCCCATCTTTCCTTAAATTTCACAAGGGAATGTTCTTTAATTAGGTCTGTCACTACCGATTTTGTTAGGCCAATAGAAGAGCCAGGTCCAAAAAGTATTTGGTTGACTGCTTTTTTGGCTAATAAATCAGCAAGACGGTTTCCTTTCGATGTGGTGTGACCTATGATCCATCTTAAGGTGACCACATTCTTTTGCTGCTATGAGAATCCCCGTTAGCTCTGTTTGAACTACACTGGCACTATTGCTCACAGCCCATTTTATGTTTAGGTTTAAGAATCTGGAGTAACTTCCACATTTTGTGCCTTGTTTTGTTTTAGAACCGTCGGTGTAGATATGAATCGTACCTGCCACTGCTGGCTCTTCCATTTGTTCTGTTATAACTTTATATGGCTTATGGAAGATATATCTCGGTGAGATGTATTCCATGTTCGCTTGAAGCAGTGGGAGCGTATCGAGCGCATCCTGCCAAAAGCGACGTCTCGCCTCACCTGATCCTACATCAGGTTCTATTTCAACCATGCGGAGACGTGTCAGTATCGGCAGTGCAACCTCCTTGACTTAAATATCAAGGGGATTGAGACTAAGAATAACTTCATTGGCTCTGGTAGGTGTTGTTTTCATGGCTCCTGTTACGTTGAGACATACTGTTCTTTGAATTTGTTCTAGTTTACGTATAGCTGTTAATTTTTGGGTTTTTAGTACCCAGACAACTGCACCGTATGTTATCATAGGTCTTATGATAGCTGTGTAAGTCCATGCGACGACTCTGGGACGATTCGGCGGCATTGTTCATAAGCAATTTATGCTCTTATAACTCTGTTTTCTAAGTGCGAGTTCCATGGTTATTTGCTGTCAAAGGTGAGACCTAGGTACTTCACCTCTGTTGCAAAGTTAAGTTTTGTGTTTAGGAGTTCGGTAGGTTTTAATTCCATTTTCATCATTTTCCTTGTGAAAAGGACCATTGCTATCTTCTTAGGATTGATAGAGCTACTTGCATTCTTTCGCAGAGTATGTTCTCAAAATTTCCCTGTTTGCAGAATGATATGCTATTGTGTAGTGACTGTCATTATTAAGGCGGCTGATGAGGGTGTCGAGGACCATATTCCACAGTAGAGGTGATAGCAACCCTCGCTGTGGACATAACCTCGCCACCAAGACTCTATATTGACATCTTCTACACTTATAACTGCTCGCTATGCATGTTATGTATCCACCCACTAACCATTTGTGGAACATTCCTGTTGGTTAGTGAGTGTATTATCTTTGGGAAGGTGGTTTTATCAGAAGCACTTTTCTATATCTATCCGGCCAGCAACTAGATAAAGAACTGAATCAGTAGATATGCCTGGAGTGTATGCATGTTGGTTTGGGTGTAGTGATGTTTTTGTAATCACCGCATCCCTAATGTACCTTTCGCATAGCCTTTCCAATGTCTTTATGGAAAACGATGTCAGACAGTGTAATCCATCCTTTTAGGTTTGGGTATAAATACCACTTTTACCTCTCTCCATTGTTTGGGGATATACCTTAGATGATCTGAATATACCCACCAGGTGCGGTGTGAGTTCTTTTAGACCCTACTGAAGTAGGGCTAGATAGATATTGTCAGGTCCTGGCGTTTTAAATGGAGAGAGGCTAAATATTGCCCATCTAATTTTTTTGTTGCCAATCATTGACAAATGGATTGTATTCTTCATCTGCCCAGTCGGCCACGTTTGTGATGACCGAGTCAGGGAAGTGTGTTGACAGCAGAAGTTTGATGCTATCTTCGAGGTTGGCAGTTTTCGTGCCATCCTCTTTGATTAGCGCACCAATGCTTCGGTATGGATCTTTTGAGAAAGCTTATTGATGCCTCGCTGGCTGCGGGAAAGCTTCGATTTCTTCGCAGTAGGATCTCCATGCATCTCTCTGTTTTTGTCTGACGATTTTTTTATATTCTCTGAGGTAAGATTTGTAAGTATCCCAGTCCTCTTTGAGTTTTGTGGTTCTTGCCTTATTAAAGGATTTCCTAGCCATCTTACTGAGATGATCCAACTCGTGACACCACCATGCGGTAGTCGTCTGATCATGTTGGACCAGCCTCAGGGGACAGGATTTCTTATAGGTATTGTTTATTGCGCTTTGGATAGTGTTCGAGTACTTCTCCAAAGCATTGTTATTGTTTGGTGTTTCAGCCTCCATTTCTCTCAGAGCCTCTTGGAGAAGGTGGGCATTGATTGCCCTGTCCGTCTTCCTAGGGTTCCAAAATAGCGTGGAGGTCGGCAACATTAGGTTTATTTTAAATGTTAATTGTTTGTATTGACATTTAATTGAAACAATATTTTTAGATT